CCCCCACTGCCTCCCATCTTGCTAATTCATGGTAATGTGTATTCCCGAAAGGCCTATGAGCTTCCGAGCTCCAAGTTGAATACCTTCGCTGGTTAAATCGCTGGTGGGTTCCCTGATTCATTCATTTATTGAGCATCTCTGGACTGGGAGCAGCACATGCAGCGTGAATGAGGCAGACACGGCACAGCCCCTCCCCGCCGAAGCGCGGAGTCTAGAAGCCACGTCTGTAGCCGGCACGCAGTTGTGGTAAGACTGAGAGTGAGGGTCGGGTGCTTTGACAGCCCCAGCGGGAGCGTGTGGCTGAAACGGAGCTGAGGGGGATTTTCTGGAGGAAGTTGTGGCAGTTTAGAAACTTGTGTCCCAAGTTCTTTGCCGCTCTGCCAACGAAAAGAGGTGGGTCCATGCCTCCTCCCCTGGCATCGAGGCTTTGTGAGTGTTCCAGCTCAACAGAATGTGCCACAAGTGGTGTGAAGCTAATTTCTGGGTCCCGGGAAAGAAAACCCTGACTTGAGGGGTTCAGCACTCTTAGTGCCTGGCCATCGCCATGTTGGGAGGAAGCCAGCAGCCTGCGAAGGGACTCAGGGACCCTGGCTGAGCTCCTAACTTGCCACCCACAGGCTTGAGCATTCCAGGAAAGGATCCTTCTAGCTGCTCTGGTGAGTGCTGGCTGGAGCAGATCCCCCCTGCTCCACTGAGCCCAACTCAAGTCGCAGATTTATGAGTAAGACACGTTTACTTTCTCGATGAGTTTTGGGGTGTTTGCACGCAGCAACAGTAACTGGAACAAAATGAAATATTAAGTTGAAATCTGAGAATCGAACGGGAATGGGCTAGACAAACAGTGAAGGAGGGTAAGAAGTGGAAAATGCAGGGTGGGCCTCCCTGGTGGCCTTGGGGTTAGCGCTCAGCACTGTCACTGCTATGGCCTGAGTTTGATCCCCAGCCAGGGAGTGACCCACATGGCACAGCAGACCTCTCCTGTCTCACCTGCTGCTCCCCTCAGCAGTGTATCTCAGTGGATCTGCCTGTTCTGCTCCCCACTCTGTCTCTGGTGAATCCTCTCATCTCTGGCCTGCATCTCTGGCCTACATCCCAGTTCTTCTATGCAACCCCCCCCCTTTTTTAAAGAAAATTCCAGGGGGGGGGCTAGGCAGAGGGGCTGCAGGCCAAGGGCTTGCCCACCCACAACCTGTGGTACCTGTTAGAGTTTTGTCTTGCATGAGCTGGGCAGAGAAGAAGAAGCTGGAACCACATTAGGATTTTACCTTCCTCCTGGGACCAGAGGGCCAACCCTGGGTCACGGAGTTAAGTACACAATAGGACCCAAATTTAGGCCCCCTGGTTTCCTCTTCTGCAGGGTCTTTATTCATCCCCTGAGCTAAAGGAACACCGGCAAGCACGTTATCTGGCCAGGTCTTATGGGCTCAACCGTGTCTCCCAGGGGTGTTACTCAGCCTTGACACGCTTTCACCTCTGGCTCTATGTCTCCTCTCAATTACGATCACAAGACAGTCTTCCCGTTGCTGTTCTCTCTACCTTCTCAGCTGAATTTGTGGCTGAAAAATGAGATCACCGAGCACAGGGGAAAGCCGCGGGCATGCAGGGGTCTTTTGGGGATTGTTTTCCCTGTCTCCTCTGCAGTTTGTCAGACTTAGAAACTTTCAACTAAAGAGTCTATCCGATGGGCTTAGATCCAGAGGAAATGATCCCTTTTGCTTTTACAATGCAGTACTTTGTTAACATATGCACTTGCTAAAGAACACTTGTATTTTGGAAGCTTCTGTGATTGGCATTAAATTTGTAGGAGCATCGCTCTTAGCTGTGAGACGCCTGCCTGGAAATTAAGATTTTTATCCATCAATCGGAGGCTTTTAGGGAACTGAAGCCCAGGAAGATCAGATTTTTTGATTGCTTAAAAATTGCTGCCAATACCCAAGGACCTTCGTCACAGGTGCCAGCTTCTGTACTGCTCATTATTTCACTTAACCCTTGTTACAAGCTGGTGCCCTTCCTGTGGGTGAGAAGAGGGATGCTCAGAGAGGGCGAGTGACTTGCTCAAGTTCCACAGTCGTCCTCGTGAGAGTCAGGATCTCAGCACAGCCCTTACCCTGTGTGCTGAGCGTTAGGGACACTCTCCCGCTGTTACTTCAAAGCTCCGACCACCCCACCTGTATTTGATGGCCCTACTGGGTAATGGCCTCCAGTTTTATTTTAATAACCAGCCTTGTACAGCTCATAAAATCCACCAGTTAAGACGTAGCCAGGCCAACGTTGACGAGAGGAGCCGGATCATACATATTTAAACTTATTAAACTTTAAATAAACCATGTCTCGCTCGCTGAAACATGAATTGGAGCGGGAAGAACTGTGGTCTGTGACCGTGGATTAACAACCCCATTCAAACACGGGAGCTGTTAACATCTGAACTCTTTAAACAGCCTCCGGGGGATCTTTGATGGGGCCCCCTCCGCTGCTGCTTACAGACCCTGTTTTGTTTGTCTGGTAATCTGAGCACAACTCCTGTGAAAGAAAGAGCCGTGAGTGGAATTGTTCCTTCTCTTTGTTCCAGGGAGAGATGCCAGGGAGCTAGAGTCAACAGGACCCCAGACTCCACCAGCACTGCTGGCTCAGGGACAGCAGGCTAGGGACGAGGTCTTGGGGAGCCTCATGGAAAATGAGGTGGTCTATGGTTTAAGTCCCAGCACTGTCACCACTGCTGCGTGAGTTCGATCCCAGCCAGGGAGCTGACCCACATGGCGCAGCAGACCTCTCCTGTCTCCCCACTGCCCCCCTCCGCAGAGGATTTCAATGGACCCACCTATTCTGCCCCGCATTCTTGTGTCTGCTGAATTCTCACACGCCCCACATCTCTGGACTGCACCCCAAATCTTCTATGCAAAATTTTAAAAAAAGAAGAAAGTCCCTGGTGTGAGTGACCTCTGCGTCAAGGTTTTGGGATTCTTTCCAGGTTTCCCCTCCTTCCCCTAAACTTGAGAGAATAAGCAGTGTGAAACAATAGAAAACATACACATATAGGCCCTTCTGGAACGTGAAACGGACTGTTTTAAAGGGTGTGGTTCAGTGGCACTTGAACTTATGCCGTATTCCTTTAAAGCCCCGGAGGCAGGACGTGGGTGGCTGGATGGGGTGGACTCAGCTCCAGCACCCTTTTCCAGTCTGAAAAGGATATTTCTGGCCTTTGGCAAAAGGCAACTCCACTGTCCCTGCCTCTTTCAGCCCTGGTCCTCCTAAGTGGACATGTGGGCCCCAGGGATTCCCCTGCGGCATCTGCAGGTCTTCTCATCAGGCCAGTTCTTGTCACCTAAACTTCCATTCAGGATTAAAGATCCTGTTGAACAGTCCTACCTCTTGGGGTTCTTTCTAGGCTCCTCTTTTACCCCTGAAACGTGAGGGAATGAGCAGTGTGAAATAATAGAAAATATGTATACATAAAGGCACCTCCCATAAAACAGACTATTTAGGGTGTGGTTCGGGGGCATTTGAATGGATGGTTGTGCAACCACCACCCCAGTCTTGCCCCCCAAAAGACCCTGTGCCCATGGAGCAGTCACGTCCCCTCTCTGCGGGGGGCAACAGATCTGCTTCCCCTCTCTCACGGAACCTCAGCTACTGCTGATGCCTCCACCTACCTCAGAAGATTACTCCTGTATTGGGCTTCAGACAGCATTTTGGCTGGTTGGAATTTGTGCCTTTCTTCTTCTTGCAGCTTCTGAAGTTGCTGTTGTCGTTTTTTCCGTGCACTCTCCTCCTTCAGCATGGTGAAATATCCGCGGCCTATCTTCACCGACTGAATCATGATGCTGAGGGCGTGAGGGGAGAGAGAGAAGCGTTGACATTAAGGTCCGTCCCCTGTCGTCTTGGAACTGGTAACCCCATTACCGTGCCTGGTGATTGTTCTTCCCCCTATGGAGTCAGAGTCTCCTGCCTGTAGAATTCCAGAGCTTGAATTCTGAATCCACTTATCAAACACCATGAACAAATTGTGTCATCTCTCCAGGTCTCAGTTTTTCAGATTTTTTTTGGTCTCCCCATCATTTAGTAAATACCTGTAGAGAGTCTGTTCTGTGCCAGGCACTTACTAAGCGCGATGAAATGAGCATAACTCACACCCCAAGGATTAGATATCCCCCAGCAGGGGCTTAAATGCTCACCTTTGTGTCATGTGGCTGCAGAAGTTGAGAGGGTTACCGTGGGTGCTTGCTAGGTCACGTGACGTAGCAGTGACAATGACTTTATTCTTTTCTTGTGCACTTAATCACTGTTCCCTTTCAGAGACCTTGACACAGCTCGATGCTCTCCACACCCCCCATCCCTTTGGGGTGTGATAGCAGGGGTGTAACATGTCTCCCTGTCTGTCTGTCTGTCTGTCTGTCTGGACACTTGGCCAGACCCCCTATTGAACCACATTCCCAGACAGGATTGTTGGCTTTAAAATTCAGTGTTGTGTGTTCTACAAATTTCTAATGAGCAACCAGTGTGTGTTGTGCTGACTGATGAAGAAGACCCTGGGTCCCCCAGAATTCACGATCTGGGAAAAAGATATGTGAAAAGTTAATGGTAACAGTGCGAGGGGCTGGGGAGGGCTCTGGACTTTGTAGGAGGAGAGTGCCTGATTTAGACTAAAGGGTGGAAGACATCTCCCCTGACTCAGTGATATTTTCTTTCCCTCTTTCTGAATAGCCTCTTTCCCTCTCCTGGTCTTCCTCTGTGCTCAGTTTTATTGAATGGGAATATTCTCAGCTAGCTGTGATGGCTAGATTCTGCTAGGATTAATTAGTCCCTCATTTGCTAGGAAGAATTAGGGTATTACTGAGGGCATATCTTTCTTTCTTTCTTTCTTTTTTTTTTTAAGATTTCTTTTTCTTCATTATGCACACAAGAACTGGGGTGTAGGACAGAGGTGTGTGTGGGAGTAGGGTGAGAGGATTCACCAGAGACAGAGTAGGGAGCAGAACAGGGGGTTCTACTGAAGTACGCTGTTGAGGGGAGCAGCGGCGAGATAGGAGAGGTCTGCTGTGCCCTATGTGGGTCAGCTCTCTGGCGGTGGATCGAACTCAGGCCTCAGCAACAATAGCATGATAACACTGAGACTTAATCCCTGAGCCATCAGGGAGGCCCTACTGAGGGCATTTTAATTTCAGCAGTGGACTCATAAATGTCTGTTGGAAAAATGCTGGGAGGCAGCAGGTGGGAATTTTCCAGTATTTTTCAAATCCCATCTCAGAGGTGGCAGCCTAGTTAGTGTTAATTTTTCATTCACTTGTTCTCTGAGAAGCATTGGTTGGGAACCGTCTGTTTCAGGCACCAGTGAGGGGAGTGTAGTGACATAAAGCAGGAAGCCGAGGTGTGTATCCCCAGAGAGTTTGTGGTATGAAGGAAGAAATACACCCACAAACACCCATATATCATGAAAAAGAGAGCTACGGGAACCGAGAGAAAGTCTAGGGAGACTTCCTGGAGTAGATGACATTTGCGATAAGTAGGAATTTACCAGTAGGAAACGTAGGGGATGACGTAACTGGGTTGGATAGCATTTGTATATTGGAAAGTGTGTTCTCTTTAAATTTGTGTGTTGCAACCCTACTGTGATAGAGTCAGAAAGTAGGGCTGGGGGGAGGTAGTTAGGATTATATATGGTCATAAGGGTGGAGCCCTCGTGCATGGGATTAGCTCCCCTTTCGGGAACACACAAACACTTGCATGCTTTCTGCTGGCAGCCTTGTGAGGCTCTGAGAAGTTAGCAGTTTGCAACCTGGACGAGGTTCTCCCCAGAACCCCGCCCTGCCAGCAACTCAGTCTTTGGCTCCCACCCTCCTAGTGGTGACACGTACATTTCTTTGGCTTTGAAGAACTGTGCTAGTTTGTTACAGCAGCCTGGACCGACTGACAGGGGGTCTGAAGGTCGCCTGTTTAGGAAGCTAGGGGACCTTTCAGCTGCTGGAGTCAGGCAGGATGTGGCAGAGGGAGGGAGTCACTGTGCTAGAAGGAGGCACAGCTGGGTTTCGTCCCAGTGCATTCAGCTGCCGCAAGGGGTCCTGACTTATGGGCTGTCGGGACGTTTCTGATGTGGCTGACCGGCCTTTGCTTTGGAAAATCTCGTCAGCTTGTCCTGCTGAGCCCTTTCCTGTGGCCACTGGGTCCGCGGCTAACCAGGTGCCTTGTCCTTGACTAGCACAGGCCAGGGGCTCCCCTTCAGCCCGAGACCCTTCCTGGTTGTCTCCATCCTCTCAGGCAGGCTGGTCCCTGTCCTCAGGAGCAGAGTGTGGCGTTAAGGTGACAGCATGTGTGATAAGGGCTCACGGAAAGGGAGGGGGTGCCCCCCCCCCCGGGACACAGGGCACACCCAGCCAACTTGGGGGCTTTAGGCTCGGATTTCCTGGTATAACTGGATCCAACCTCTGGTCTTCCCTGCAGAAACTCTAACCAATTAGATGCTGAAATGTGTGTGTAATGGATTGATCTGTGCCTTCCCTGCTCCCCCCACAGGTTGACATCTTAACCCTGAGCACCTTGAGTTAGTTGGAAACAGAGTCACTGTGCAACAAGGTGATCCCAGGGAAAGGGGGAGTTTCAGGTTCCCTGCTCCCCTCCCCGCCAAGGGAGAGTGGAGCTGGGCAGAGAGTGAAGCTGGAGAAGACAGGGATGGAGGAAGCAAGGAGATCAATAAGAGGACCTGGAGGAGGCACAGAGAGCAGAGACGTGTGAAGAAGCAGTGCTTACTTCTCAGCCTTGGACTTGTACCAGGGCCTGGGGGACAGGGAAGGAGGCACTTGAAGGAGACAGAGCCGTGGGGGAGAGACCCACGGGGGCTGACAGTGGCCACTTTTATCTCAACTTGGGCTGTGACTTTGCTTTTTTCCTGGCCCCAGCCGCCCCTTCCCTGTGGGTCCCCACCAGGAGGCTCCTGAGACGGGGGCAGGCTTTCGGGCCTCAGTGGCCCTGCTTTGGGCTGACCCTGTTCATCTGGACGTTTACCCTCGAGGTGTTGCGCATGAAAACTGTTCTATCCTTTCCTATCTCTTGATTGCACTCTAATCGAATCAAAGTTATTTTCTATTGAAGGTTTTATGCACTAGAGTTACGTTTTGTCTTGAAGCAGCAGATAGCAGATCCTATTTAGAACAGGAAGGTTGGAGGTTCCTGGGCTACCCCTCCTTCTTCCTGGTAGCAATTGAAGACCTAATTAAGACGATGTCATATTGGAGCAGGGTTGCCTCCCCTCCCAAGCCAGCATGAGGGGCTTCCATATAAAAAAGGGGGACGTGGACATACATGTGCATGTGGCAGGGATGCCTTGTGAACATGCAGGCAGAGATCGGGTGATGCTTTTACTGACCAGTAAATGCCAGGGAGTGTCAACAAACTGCCAGGAGCCAGAAGGGAGGCCAGGACAGTGTCTTTCTTCCTCCTTAATAAGAACATACCCTCGGGCCCTCCCTGGTGGCGCAGCGGGTCAAAGCACAGCACTAAGAAGCTAAAGCCAATCCCGCATGAGTTCAATCCCCGTCTTCCCCGGAGGTGACATCACCCACATGGCGCGGCAGACCTCTCCTGACCCGAACACTGCTCCCCTCAGCAGTGTACTTCCTCTATCTGCCTGCTCTGCTCCCCGCTCTGTTTCTGGTGAATCCTTTCACCCTCCCGCACCCCTGGCCTGTACCCCAGCTCAATAAATAAATCTTTTTTTTTAATTTTACAAAAGTTTATTTTTACATCATTTTATATATATTTTTTTCCATCTCAATTGTAATCCCCACGGGTTTCCCATCACCAAGTCACCCGTGTGCCATCACCATAATCCTGTGCATTTCCCTCCCCCCACCCTCATTTTTGAACCCATTCCCCACTCCACCCCCGCAAAATGTCTCTGGTATATGGTTGTTCATTATTCATGTTATTTTTCTCTCCTGGTCCATTATACTCCTGCTATGAGTGGTATTTTTCTTTCTCTTTCTGGCTTATCTCACTAAGCATGATCTTTTCCAGCTCCATCCAAGTTGCTGCAAAAGACATGTGTTTCTCTTATTTGGTTGCTGAGTAATATTCCCTTGTATATATGTACCACATCTTTTTTTTTAAAATTATTACAAAAGTTTATTTTTACATCATTTTGCACATTTTTTTTCCATCTCGATTGTAATCCCCGCGGGTTTCCCATCACCAAATCACTGTACCACATCTTTTTAATCCAGTCATCTACTTTTGGGCATTTGGGCAGCTTCCATGTTTTTCCAATTGTAAACAAAACAGCAATAAACATGGGGGTGCAGGTATCTTTTTCAATCAGTGTTTTTGTGTCTTTGGGGTAGATACCTAGGAGTGGGATTGCTGGGTCATAGGGAAGCTCCATGTTTAGCAGTTTGAGGAACCTCCAAACAGTTTTCCATAGTGGTTGCACTAGTTTGCATTCCCACCAGCAGTGCAGGAGAGTTCCTTTTTCTCCACATCCTCCCAGTAATGCTCTGTTTTTGAAGTCCCTGAGTTTGTGATGCTTCGTTCTGGCAGCTGGGCAGACTCATCCAGCGTGGCTGGGTAGCAATGGTCACACTTGTGGAGCAGCCTACCTCGTTATCTTCTTTGACTGTGAGGGTTACGGGATCCTTATGAGATTAATTTTGTAATAAATGACAGGTTGATGGTCCATGCCATAGTAAATAAAAGGGGCTTGAATACTGTGGACCAGACCCTGGGCTGGACACTTATTATGTGTCAGATTCTGCTTCAAGTGCTTTATTATGTGTCAAGTCCTGTTCAAGGTACTTGCAGTATGGAGGTGAACATCTTGACAAAGAATTCTCTG